AAATCACAAAAGTACATTCATTTTAATAATTGTTCTGCTTGGTTTAACTTTACAAACTTGGTTTTGGTGTATTCAGCATTTCTTAACAAAGTCCTTCAGTACTCTGCATTCACGCTGCATTTAGTCAGAATTTGCCTTTTTTTTTTTTAAATCATATTAGAAAATCTGATTTTTTATGTATGCAACATTTTGGAAAATTAAAACAGTATGTGGGGTTATGCCATTTCCAGGTCATTTTTAAATTCAGCTATGATAAGAATGACTGTTTTTAACCAATGGGTGACACGGAGAAATCCCTAAACCAGTCTAGAGGAATTACTACCAGACTGAATGAACATATTGCTGAATCAGCAGTTTTAGTTTTTGATTGATATTAAATGAAAAGAAAAATTGTTTTTGTCTATGTTGTATACAAATATTAAATTTAACTTTCCAACTCCTACATTAATCTATGATTATTTTGTGTGTACCTTGTAACTGAGTTGTGAGTCTGGCAACAAACAGAACACAGTGTCACATTTTCCTTATCTTTGGCACAGCTATGGGTACATTTTGTTTGCTGCTCTGGTCAGTGAGGTGTGGGAGGCACCCTGTCCATTCACTCCCACAGTCCACTCCCATCCCCCACTCCACCCATTGTCACTAAAATCTGTACTGCTGGTACTGTACTCTTTGGCAGAGGATGTGTGTGAAAAAAACCACTGAGTGGAATTGGAGGATTTTTTTTACTGAGTACTGAAAAAGCTATACTTTTTTTTTTACCTTCCTCCTACATTAAATAATATAGAGTTTATGTGTGGTCTATCTTGTATAAAGTTTTGATTTATAAGTGCAGAAAAGCTGTGCCCAGGTTTAAAAACTTGTATGCGTTAAGAATTTTTTTTTTTTTTTGGACACCTCTGGTGGAGTTTGCATGTTCTCTTTGTGCAGGTAAAGTCTGACGTGGTAGTAGATAAACATCTAGCACATTTCAGTCATATGATGGTTTTAGTTTAAATCATGGTATAAAAGGCAACAGGCTATTGCTTAAAGACATGTTGGACCTTTAATTAAAATAGGCCTATTCTAGCTTAAGAGGCTTTTTTCTTTTCAATTTATTAAATTAGCCATTTTTTATGTCGGCTGCTTCACTTTACATTCAACTCATTCTCTTCTTGTTCAGAATAATTTTTCATCACATTTAATTCATTTTAATCATTTTGTTCTGTTTGAATTAAGTGAAAATGTGCCATATTGCATATGCAGTATAGATACAGATCCAGAGGAAGTCATTGTAACTGGTGCCCGGACATGTTTACATCTTCATACACAACTTGGATCAGATTAACCTTTAACAGTTCTGCAGAGACATCTTTGCACCATTTACTGTATGTACAGTTTTGGTGAGTTTTTTTAAGCAAGCGGAGCATGAAGAGAGCGTGTTTGGGTGCAGCTATACAGAGAGGGGCTGTCAGGTTTTCTGCTTCGCTCCTTGATGTCTTGTGAGAATTTTAGCCACACGGAAATAGAACCAACTTGTTTTCAATATCATTGTGGGCTGTTGAGTTGCATAATACTTCAGTTATCAGAGGTTTCAAATTAAAACCGTCTGCTCTTGTCCTCTGCACAGTCAGCCTGTTGTTTTTTTAAATAATTTATAAGCTTTGGGCTGAAAACCTTTTCAAGAAGCTCGTTTAAGTCCAATCTGTTACTGTAGTTGTGTTTAAGACTTCTCTTAGAGTTTTAGTAAAACGTCACATCCATTTACAATCCACTTTGCTATCTGTTTATATTACTAGGTGGTCTATCTGATTTCTTATCCTAATGATTTAGTATAATTTAAAAAATGTAATTTTCATGAATGTGATCGACTTGCACTGCTTCAATTATTGTCATTCATTAAATGCTTTGAATGACTTGTTTCTTGTAGTTTTGTTTTTTTTGCAAACTACTTATGCATATTTTGTTCTATTTAAACCATTTGTATATTAAAACTGCAACACCCATTCAGAGAATGACTGCTATGACTTTTCCTTTTAGTAACCAATACACTTTTCAAAATATTTAACTTTATTTAGAGTTATTTTCCTTGTAAGAATTCAGTGAGATCACTTATTTCAAACACAATGTTCTCTTTGAAATCTCATTCAGTATAATTACTGGTTTTGTCTTCTTGAAATAATTTCAGTTTTTAGTTACTTTTGCTACTTTTAGATTTTAGCTTGCCTTTTCCTGCTCTTAGCTTTTAGCTAATCTTTTGCTACTTATATCGTTTAGTTAACCTTTTGCTAGTTTTGACTTTTAGCTGCCATTTTGCTTCTTTTAGCTTTTATATAGTGTTCTGCATGTTTTAGTTGATGTTCTGCTTCGTTTAACTTTCAATTAGTGATCTGTTCCTTTTAGTTTTTAGCCAACGTTTTGCTACTTGTTGCTAACCTTATGCTATTTTTAGCTACTTTTTTTAGTTATTTTGCCATATATAGCTTTTAGCTAGTGGTTTGCTACTTTTAGCTTTTATGTAGCCTTTTGCTCCTTTTGCATTAGAGCTACGATTTTGCTTTTAACTTGTATTTGGCTTTTTTATCTTTAACAACATTCAACACTCCCGTTGTATATTTTCACCAGTTCCAAACAGGATTCTGGAAATGGGTCTCAGGGATATTTTATTAAGTTTTTCACTAAATCATAGTCATGCAATATCAATATTTTGACCTTTGATGATATTCCCCCTTTAATACTTGGATCTGTTTTTCTCTCTCTGGTTTGTCCCACAGATGGTCTGGTGATTGTTGGTGTTCACTCTGCCAAATTTCCCAATGAAAAAGTAAGTGTTGTTTGTTTATTTCAAGGTTCTACATTCCTTAATGTCATTCGCTTCACATGTGGTACATGAGGTGGAACAAAATTGTGTACTCAAGGTCCCAGTTACACTCAAAAATAGCAATAATATAAGGTATATAAAAACAGAAATGGTATACAAGGATCTGAAATATACGCTAAACAATATTAATATATATATATATATTAAGGTGTATTAAACAAGAGTCTGCTGTGAGCAGATGGTTATGAATATACTATACCTATACTATAGTTGAAATGACACCTGCAGCTTCTACTTGTGCAAACCTTATTTGCATTTAAAAAAATATAAATGAAAATTTTTAAAAAGAAGATTCAGTCTAAAACTAAAAGTCAGATCTTACAAATCCTCAAACTGTGAGCGGCAGAAGACTCTGACAGTTACACATGTGAATTTTAGTTTTTACAACATTATTATAGAAGATATGACACGTTAAAATAACCCTTCACTTCCAGTTTAAGACAAAATTTGATGCTAAAATGGAACTGAATTTGTGGAAGCCTAGATGTGCACTTTGCATTCTGGGAAATTTGAGAGAAAACCGTAGTGCTTATGGGAGTGAGAGACACTGGGTGAAAGAAGACAAATAAATACAGTTCAGTTTGATGTATAATTTATTTATGTACCAAAAGCAGCTGTGGAAGTAAGAAGAATTTAAGATTTGAAGATTTTTGACAGCTGTGTTGAAAATCTGTAAAAATCATAAAACTTAAACGCCGATCCTATTAAAAAATAAAATATTAAAGTGCAAGATCAGACATGTAAAGTCCAACTTCTGTGACCCGTTTATACTTTGAATAATGCTTCTACTGTGAATCATGTCTTAACTATAGAACTATAGAATAGGGGCCAAGATGGTGCAGGGGCAGGGCAGCCGACCCGGGACCCGAAGGTCCTGGGCTCGATCCCCGGCCACTGCACATCCCGTGGTGTCTCTGAGCAGGACACCCAATCCCAAATTGCTCCCCAGGCAATCGCATAGCTGCCCACTGCCCCACCTGGGTGCATCCCAGGTGCAATGGGTTAAATGCAGAGAGCCAATTTCGTCTTTGTATGGGAACATGCAATGATGACAACACATAACACTTTATTTTTACTTTATTTATTAACTCCAGAGAGGGCGATTTTTCTCATGTGTTTTATCCAAATCCTGTTGATTTTTTTTTTTTGTAGCAGGTTATATATATATATATATATTTTGCCTACTTTGTGTGACATTCTGCTACCAAAACTCACAGCACACTAGTCCCGACTGAGCCACATATTTTGGTGTACAACTTGTATGTTTCATTCAAAGCTGTCCCACATCGAACAGGGCAGAAGCTTTACTGGTTGTGTGAAGGTTTATCAAGCATTCACTCTATTGTGATCCATTTTTCTTTCCGGCATCGTCCTCGTTCCACAATTTTTGTGCTATTTCAACAAGTCATATATCAAAACGTTCAGCCAATTCAGGAGAGGAGTGCTATAATTTTTGGTATTGGTGCAAATTTAGCTTTTTGAAATATTTAGCCTTTTCTGCCACTTTTTTCTCATAGGAAATTAATTGAGCTCATTTTACATTCTTCATATCTTTATATCTGCTACAACCTTTTACTGCTTCTTTCATATTTTGTTCTGGTTCTGCTTCTTTTAGCGTCTTTGTGCAAATTTAAACTTTTTTTCAGCTACTTTCAGCTGTTTTGTGATCTTTTCTGTTTCTTTCTGCTAATTTCAACTTGTTATGCTCCTTTCAGCTTATTTCTACAAGTTTCAGCTTTTTTTGCAGTTTCAGCTACTATTTAGCTGTTTTATACTAATTTTAGCCTTTTCAGCTAATTCCACATTTTTTGCACTCATTTGAACTTTTTTCTGCCTAATTCAACAAAATTGTGCTCTCTCCACTTCCTTCTGGTAATTTAAGATTCTTTCTGCCTTTTCAGCTATTTTTCAGCTGTTTTTTTTTTTCTAATTTCAGCCTTTTTTTTAGCTACTGTAATTTACTACTTTGTGCTCATTTTTGCTTTTTTAACCCAATTTTAGCAAATATGTGTTCTTTCTGCTTTCTTCTGCTAATTTAGGCTTGTTCGTCCATTTCATCTTTTTTTTTTTTTTTTTTTAGCAAATTTCAGCTGTTTTTCAGCAAGTTCTTGTGCAATAAGCATTCACACTGTAATTTCTTTAATAATAATAATGCATGGCTCCCTTAATTAATCAAATGTATAGTGTAAGGTAAGTGTCTAAATAAAGTGTCTCTTACCTCTGAAATGAGAGTTTTTATAAAACATGGCAAGTAAAGTTGTGCACTCCTCTTCTCACTGGACTGTTTTTTTTTTTTAATCTGTTTCTGAACCTTTCGAAGGTCCTGGACAACATCCGGAGCGCTGTGCTCCGCTACGACATCTGCCACCCCGTGGTGAACGACAGCGAGGCGTCTCTCTGGCACGAGCTGGAAGTTTCCTGCTGGCCCACACTGGTGCTGCTGGGACCTCATGGTAACCTGCTCTTTGCCCTGGTGGGCGAAGGTCACCGGGACAGGCTGACACTTTTCACCGACAGTGCCCTTCGGTTTTATGGTGAACGAGGGCTGCTGAAGACTCACTCAGTGGGTATTAAGCTTTACCGGGACTCCTTGCCACCCAGCATCCTTTCTTTTCCTGGAAAGGTGGCTGTTGACCAAAGCAACCAAAGGCTGGTGATTGCAGACACAGGGCATCACAGAATCCTGGTGGTGTCTTCTATCGGACAACTACTACACGTTATAGGTGGTAAGGAACTTAACAAATACATGCATGCAGTGATAATAGTTTAGGATTAATTTTATGCCTCGGTGGAGCCACATGGTTAACCAGTGTTAACCTCAAACCAGCAGAAAGGTAGGCAACATTGAGACAAGACATTGAGCTAAAATTGGCTGTAGATGAGTCGTTCTCACTTATTTTGTGTGGCGTCTCCCAAAATCGCCTGAGATTGCATTATTTTCTAGGTTTGACCAAAATGTTTACATTTCCATCATGTAATAGTCTACAAGTCTGGCGTGAAAGGTGGTGTGAGTGCTATTACTTCAAGGAATGCTAGACTTAAAAAAAAGTGTTTTTTACCAAAGTGAAATATTGTTTCTGTCACAGGACCTGAAAGAGGCAAACAAGATGGCGACTTGTCCGAAGCATCCTTTAACTCCCCTCAGGGCGTTGCCATCAAAAATGACACCATATATGTGGCGGACACAGAAAACCACCTGATTCGAAAGGTAATTAACTGTCTTATACAGCTGTTGATGAAAGGTAATTAA